TGTCGGTCACACATAAAAGATTTGCAAGCCGAACGGATATCACAAATCTCTTAGTTTGCAGGATTGAGTTCATCGCCGAGGTATGTCCTTATCTTTCAGGAATGTGTAGTATTCGTGGCATCAAACACGATTATGCAAGTTATTAGACTAAGGAGATCCATTTGGTCTCATTTTTCAAAAATTAACATTTTTCAAAAATTAACAATTAACACATATTACTTTCAAAACTCAAACTATATACCTCTTATATTTAAATTAAATTTTAAAAATTATTTTCAATTTTCAAAAGGTTGACTGACACTTTAGTACAAGCATTTGCATTATATTTAGTTTTTTAGCATAAATCCAAATGTATTCTTTGATATTGATTTATGTTTTTTAAAACTATGCTCCATTACCTTTTTGAAGGCCTTTATTGCACGACCCATACATTTTATTTTTTTATACTTATGATAATCCATAGATTTCCTATTGTTTTTTATTATTTGTAGCAAAATGTTCGTTTCTAATCATTTATGTTGTTTATTTTTAAAGACTCCATTGGAAAGATTTGTATGCGAAATTATTCTAATATCTCCATTAAATTTCTAAACATTATGAGGTATCTGATATGGACATATCTAACTCTTTTTTTGGGGGGGATGTGGGTGATCAATTTATAGTGTGCTTTATGATTTAGTTTTAGCTCATCGTTCTCTTATAAAAGCTTTCTTCAAAACTTTATGTAGTATTTTCTAAATTTAGCATCTTTTTTACTTGATATCTTCATATTTAACTAAAATTTTATCAGCTTAGTTTTTGATACGTATGCCTTATCGAATGCTTTAGAAATTCTGATCTTTTTCATTCATAATCTTTATCTAACATTTTTCTAAGTACCTTATTTATTAGATGAATCTTCTCTAGCTATAATATTTTACTTTCTTCACTAAATTTTTACAAGACTTTCACTTACTATATCATTGTAAGACTCGATGCAATTTATTTTTCTACTTTTTAATGTGTAATTATTTTTTCTTAAAAGTGTTTGTATCTTCTCACTCTGTTGTCATGTGTCTTCATAATATATTTTTGAACTCTTGAAACTTGTCACATTCTTTTCAATGTAACATGCCTTGTATCACATCAAATTTGGTTTACTTGTAGAATTTTAACTAAATTATCTCAAGCAATCTATCTCGGAAGATTAACTTCTCATTTTTTAATTTCCACTGTCTTATTTTTAGGCACTTAGTTAAGTTATTTATTCTGAGAACTTCTTAGACCATTTTCTCTTGAAATCATTTAACAACACAGACAAAAAGATTTATTTTCCTTGGATTATTTTTTGTTTTTGTGATTTGGCAGGCCTACTTCTGAAAGTCAGTGCTTTTTTATTGTTAATGGAAGATCATCATAATCTTTTTATAAATCAAGTGTAGATTCTCTCATCATCTTTTTGTTTCTTATTATAAATTGTTTCATATATAACCCTTTTAAAACCTATAAATAAAAGCAAGTTACCATCAATGATAACCTCTTTTCATCAAACCTACATTATAATAACCCATCTATCTCATACCAAAATTAATTTTTCAGGCCACTAATCCAATTTGAGGAGCATAGATACTGACTCGAAATATCATGTCTTCTTCACTGATAATTTACTTGTAACAAATATTCTACCATTAAGCCTATTCACGTCAAGTTTTTTCTTTTAACTGATGATTCTTATTGTCTTAACTTATTCTTAGATGTACAATATCATTAGATCTTTTGCCTTTCCATTTTTTTTTTGTTTCAAGCATGCAATGTTTATTTTTCTAATCTTTGTGTACACCAATTCATATTTTCTCATTTGAAGTTTCAAGTTTTACTGTGCTTGGACTAAAATTTCAGAACTTTTAGATCAGTGTCGTACTCTTGTTTGGCTCCCACTTTCTTGTTGCTTTTTGAAAATTTATATGAGGAAGAGCTTTTCACAACAGATTCGCTAGTGCGGTAATTCTAAGGAAGTTGCTCCCAAAAGTTTTCTCAAGGAAAAAAATTACAATACACACAACAAATTTTAAAAATTTGTTTTTTATTCTAGATAGTTGGACAAATGCAACCATCCCAAACATTTCCCTAGTAAATAAATTTAATATTAGTTTTAGCCCTACTTCATGCTTTCATACATTTCATCATTAGTTGGTTTAATTTTAGGTTACAAGCTAGATAACTCCTGACTATTTTTCATCCCAGTTGAGCTTGTACCTCTTACCTTACAATTATCATTCTAAAAAACTCATGCCTCCTTGCCAAATACTATTTAGGTTGCTGCATTCCTTTTGGGAACTCTATCTCCAGAAAATTGAAAAGTTTTGAAGAACAAATGGACAATTTCTCTCTTAAAAGAAGGGGGGTTGAATAACACAAATTTAACAAGCAACAGGAAGCGTTTGGGAAAAAGTCTCTTCTGACAAAAAAAAAAGGCGTAATTACCTGAAAACTATAGACTATAAAGTTGATCATGACTGTTCCTATACTGAAGTGTGGACTGAACCCTTATAGTTAGCGACTGATGGTGGCGGGTTGAACAATCCTTCTTTTGAAAGAAATGGATTTCCTTGGCCCAAAGTTGATTGGTGATAGAGGAAATATGGATGCCTTCATTCTTAAACTTAAGACTTAAACTTAAGGGGGTTGAATGGCCGAAAGTTGACAAGTGATGAAAGCAGTTGGTTCATTCCATCTTTTGAAATATGGGGGATTGAAAAATGGAAGTTGGCTGACAATTGGGAATTTGGGATAGATCCTCTCCTGAGAGAATTACAGATTGAATTACCTAAAGTCATTTGGTGATTGAGGCAATCTAGATATTCCTCCTAGATGGAGAGTGTGGATTAGATAACATAGAATTGGTGAGTGATAAAGGCAGTAAGATTTGTCCTTAGTGGATGGAGTGGATTTGAAGATTTGGATTCAACCGTCAACAAGAGTCTATCAATAGTTACAGGAGGTGGCCGTGTCTTGTGTTGAACAAAATGATCTAGATTTGACAATAAGGTTCAAATAATATTCCTTCTATTAAAAGGAAATATTTGTACTAAAATAAAATTTGTAAAAATGATCCACAAACGTTGAAGTATCAGCTGGAACTCCAAGTTGTGGTTAGAGCTTTTGAGTTCCTTACAATTTTGAACTTTAACATGTCTCAAATGGGAAAGGCTAGTATATTTTTATATTTTACGATATGTATTTCAATCCTTATCAAGTATCATATCAAAATCTTCCTCGTTTTTAATAGCGATGAATGGCATCGTATTGTACCTCCTGTTGATAAGAAAATGATTGGATGAGCTTGTCCATGGGTCAACTCGATCAACCTGCTCAAGCTGGTATCCTTGGTTGTCGATTAGAAGTGCGACAATGGCTATGTACATATAAAATATATCATTTTGTAGATCATACTGCCACAATGTTGTTGGCATATATAAATTTCTGCAGATAGATTGATGGGCACTATTTTAAGGAGGTTTGCATATCAAATTTGGGGGAGTCAGAAAATGGTGATGATAGATCATCAATTTTATATCAAAATGTTTATCTCCTTGTGAGCATCCATTCACCACTAATGTCTCAATAATCATTGACCTTTAAAGGCTATAATAGCTTTAAAACGTGAGATTTAGTTCTGCAAATTGTGCCAAAAAAGGGACATTTGTCGTCATGATAGAACACTACAAATGCATTGCTCATAGTGGGAGCTTTCTGAGTGGTTGTTTGTTGTCCCCTCGACTAGTTGGTTGGACTTTAGTGGCCAACCCCCTCTATCCGTGAGTTTTTTTCTTGTGGGATAAAAGGAAACGTTGGGTCAGTCCTTGATTCTATTAATTTGATTTAGTTAGGTCTCATAAGTGCTTAGATTTAGAAGATTTTACTGTTATTAGAAATTTTGAATCATTTCTAAAAGATGGTCGTTTCAATGAGTAACATTAGGCCTCTTTCTTCTCTTCCTTAGCAGCTCCTCGAATACCGGATTTATGGTCAACGACTTTGCTTTGACTTTCTGCTTGGTCCCTAAAATACTTTTTGAAGTTAAAATTTGTAAATGTTTCGTCCGTCTGAGTTCATTTAATATTTTGGGATGCATGCTATATGTCAGACATTAGACTTAGATGAAAATTTCTATTACCCCAATAATGTTAATATTCTTTGGGCTATAAATTGGAGTTTCTTACTACACCTTCTAATGGTAGTAAATATTCATTCACACTTTGTTTATTATGTTTAATTTACCAATAATACTTTGTTAGATTTATTCTCACCAAATTAATCTTCATGATACTTTATCATATCCCTTCTCAAATATCAATGAAAATAATATGTAAATCTTCTCATTGCTCTTTTCCATTTGCTTTAGCACAAACATTGACTTCGTTATTGTTTTTTTTTTGCATAAATCCAAATGTATTCTTTGATATTGATTTAAGTTTCTAAAACTACGCTTTCATCACCTTTTTGAATACCTTTATTTTAAGGCCCATACTTTTTTATTTTTTTATACTTACGATAATCCTTCAATTTTCTTTTGCTTTTTAGTATTTGTTGCGGAATGTTTTTTTTTCCCCTAATCATTTATGTTCTATTTATTTTTAAAGACTCCATTGGAAAGTTTTATTTATGAAATTATTCTAATATCCCCATTAAATTTCTAAATATCATGAGGTGTTTTATATAGATGTATCTAGCTCGACTCTTTTTTTTTTGGGATCAATTTAGTGTGCTTTATGATTTAGCTCATTACGCTTTTATAAAAGGGTTTCTTCAAAACTTCATTTAGTATTATCTAAAAGTAGCATTTTTATTTTTTTTCTTGATATCATCATATTTAACAAATATTTTACCTGATTTGTTTTTTTATACGAGTGCCTTATCTTATGCTTTAAAACTCTCTGACCTTCTTCATTCATAATCTTATGCTTTAGAACTCTTGACCTTTTTCATTCCCAATTAATGCTGAACAATTTAACTGCTAGATCCTAAGCTTCCAAGCTTGCTGAAGATGCTTATATGGGCTCAAAACCAACTTGATGAGAAGGCATCTTATCCTCGCATCAACGACTTATCCACAGCAGCACTCGAAGAACCGACCATCTGAATTTGTATTCCAGGTAATTGCCGCATTCTCGCATTTTGAGTGCAGTAATAGGAGGCTTTGTGAATAGTTTTTTCTTGTTATCTACATATGATTCCTTTGTCTCACTCTGTATTTATTAGTGTTTTTCCTCTCTCGCAATCACATTGCTACTTAATTTTTAAAACTTTAATTTTATATTGACGGCTAAGTGTAGAGATTGTGAATTTTCGTTTGTCTGATATTGTTTGACGTGTATTTAATGATGTTGAGCATGATTCGAAGTTGTCTGACTCTATCTTGAAGCATCGAAGTTGTGTTTATTCAATAACTCGTTGAAGATTTGATCTGACATTTGTTTGATATGAATGACTGAATAGCTATTTTAATCATTTTCTTTCTATTTGCTTCTGTCCATGTGTGTATGAAGTCTAGATAACACGACACAAACAAATTGGAAGGCCAATCCACCTATATGTATCTGGTAATGGAAGTGATTTTTGGTAATGATGAGCACTCGGCCGTGAATGAAGTAGAACTTGGCTTCCAAGCCGCGGGGATATCTTCATCGATTTTAGTCTTTTGATAACATGATGAGCTTACATAAAAAAATAAGAACACTTGATCTTGATTTTATTAGAGAGAAATTTAACCTGTCCTGGGTTAAAGGTGATTGGATTAGTCAAAGATATGAATGTGAGATATGGGTGGGTTTTTTTTTTTTTTTTTTTTTTTTTTCTGGGAAGATTTACGGACATGCCACTCATTTCTTTTGTATTTACATATCTAACACCTAAACTTCAACTTTTACATGTATGCCATCTTACCTATGCAGGAAATGCTTGCTTTCACTTTTTAGAAGTTAAGATTGCGGTATTTTTGATGTGATATGAAAAATATTATGCAGGATAAATGTAAAAAAAGCAAAGTTTTGGTGCTAGATATGCAAATACTTAGGAAATACCAGCATGGTAAAAACTGATTACAATAAAACTTACTTTTTTTACTGATTACAATAAAACTTTTTTTTAATTTGAAGGTGACAATGATAGCATACAGAACTACTAAGACGAGAAATCAAGATGAACAAAAGCTAGATAAAAATATCAAATTTACCACTTTTAATAGCGTGCAATGCTCTTTGTTTTGCAAAATATATGGTGAGTTGATGTCAAGTGAACTCATGGAAATCTTACTTATGGGATTTATATTCATTTTCATTATTGACTAAAGGTAGGATTTCTGTAGATTTTTTCCCATCTGCTGAATAATTGGGAAACATACATACCAGCTGCCGCATAATTCTAATGGTTTTTACATACCTGAAACCTAAAGTTTGATATTTGCATTTATAACACCTTGCGTTCTATAAACCTATTCTGCTTAGAAAGGTGCATTTGACATTCACGAAGTTAGTAGAACTGATTTTGTTTATTGTTAATGTTTAGATGTTAGATATGTAAATGCATTAGAATTGTATGGTTTTGTTTGTAAATGCCCCAAAAAAATTTGAATGTCAGTCAATCTTGATCGGTGGAAACCAATGCATCTTCACCTGTACATGGTGGTGGTTAAAACCTTAAAAAAATGAACGAAGGGGAGCTCTACAAAGAAGGCATTAATATTAGGTTAGGAGATATTATTATTATTGTTATTATTATAAAATATATTTAGATGTCAAGTAGCCTTGATTTTCTTATGGGGGCTCAGGTTACAATGGAAATGAAACTTGATGGGCCTTAATGATGAGATGATAGGATTTTGATGACCAAAGAATTTAATTTTCATTTAAAATATGGAGTTTTAGGTGAAGAAGGTTTGAACTTTGTGCAAATATCTTAGAAAACTAGCTGAAATTGTACATATTGATGTGCGGTTTAGATCAGTTTAGAGAAAATCAAAACTGAAGCCATCAAAAAATAAAAAAAAATGTTGCCAATAAATGAAACCCTCCAAACGTCGGACATTTGCTTGACGAAGGCATATGATTATGAAGAACTGAAAAAATGAAGGGGAATTTACTTACATGCAACATAATTTTTATATATTTACATGTATAGTACTTAAAAGTATTCATTATTTACATAAATACCCAAGCAGACTTTTGAGCCATGTTACTTTGTTTGTAATTGACTCGGGTTTGTAGTCGATTCAGAGGTCTAAATTCATATTCTATTGATATATATGTCCTCTAAAAACTATTTATATGGTCAATAATCACTCATTACTTTGTTTGTAATTGACTCGGGTTTGTAGTCGACTCAGAGGTCTAAATTCATATTCTATTGTTATATATGTCCTCTAAAAACTATTTAAGTGTCATATACATTTAAAAATTTATGCATCGGGTACATAAATTCATAAATGTTATGGATGTAAATGCTGCTTTTATTTTTTCTAGGGGTTTCTAAATTCCTTGTCTTTTATTTTATCATTTTTATACCCCTTATTTATTACTTAAGTCTCAACTGACCACACTGGCGTAATTATTTGTGGCTTGATCACTTGCATGGGGCAATAAAATTGATAAAATTTGCAACACAATAAAGAATTTTTACACCCCTTATCTCCACACAGTAATTTATGTCTAATTATTGGGTGCGGAGAGCACACGTAGAGCTGTGCGCTCTCTCTGATCACAACTGCACATTACGGCTTTATGATAGTGGGCCGCACATCGTGATCGGAGAGCGCACACAGCTCTGCGTGCGCTCTCCACACACAATAATCACTCGTAATTTATATGGTCTATATAAATAGTAAATATGTAGATGGCACGAGGCATTCAATTTAGATCCGAGCAATGTCGAGTAAATGACAAAAGATTTACTACTAGGATTGGTTGGCTAATTTATTGAGATTATATTTTAAATTTGAATAATTTGTTTTGTTATATCTTAAATATATATTATTATTAAGCTTTTAAAAGTCTTTATTTTTCTTAGGTTATGTCTGGCCCAAAGTTAGTTTAGAATTCAGGGTGACTATGATTCGCAGGCTGCCTCACGCTCAAATCGATAAGTTAAGAGGTAAAGTTCAAGCCGGCATAGACTCAACTAGTTAAAAAAATAATTAATTAACATAGACCAAAACTATATTAAAATTCAAAAAAATAAAAATAAACATATTTAAAATTTGATATTTTATATTATATATCAAATGATTTGATATTAATTATCCTTTAATTGTTCATTTTTTTTATTATTTAATTATAATAATTGTTAAATTAATATGTTTTTTTCATGCTAGACAACCCGACGCCTAGGTTTGAACTCGAACTTGATTAACTTAAGCTGAATAAATTAATATATCTAGAATTAAGCTCGAGCTTGAACTTAGTTAAATTAATCTGGTTCAAGTTCAAGCCGAAAATAGCTCTAGCTCGACTCGACTCGTTTCATTTACACTCATATTTAGAACACATCAATACCTCTAAAGAGATTTTGATAGGGGGGTGAGAGAAGGCTTTGTCGCTAATGAGAGAGAAACCCCGTTTATCTTAATTGGATTTGGAGGAAATCTATGTGGAAACTCTCCTTGTTAGCATAAAGAATGTTATTCACAATGCAAATAGCTGGGCTTCGCCATGGACCCGCTTAAGCTAAAATTAACTTGACCGCGTGATTCCTTGCTTCTAAAGCTCAATTTAAATAAAAAATTGTACAGCAGCCCTATTTAGCTGCCTCAATTTGCTCAAGTAGTACATAAATAAATATTTTTTGGTGGCAACTTGAGAATACGAATATAATTATAGCACTTACATTTCTCATCGCCATTAACTAGCAGAATATTCATTGGCAATAGACCATATACGTAAAAAGAAGAGTTTAGATGACGTACATTTTCTGTCCGGACACCTGGCGTACCTCTACGTGCGGTGCAAATAAAGACCGCGGGTTATTTCAGAATTATTGAAAATAATCTAGAAATAACTTGAAAATAACTCAGGAATACCCTGCGCCGCACGTAGAACTACGTCAGGAGTCCGTAGAGAAAATTTTTTGGTTTAGATGTTATGTATTTAAAATTTAAAATTTAGATGTTAGATATGTAATGCATAGAAATTATGTGGTATGCATGTAAATCTTACTTTAAGAAGTGAAGAGTTGTGCTTGCCATATTTTAGCACAACTTGGCTTTAATGCTTTCAAAATTGTGGCGGTCTTCACAATTTATAGAATTACACGGAAAGGCGCAGCAAATATTCCTATTCATGCGATTAGGGCTGTCAAAAAAGCTCGTTGTTCGCGAACAGTTCGTGTTCGGTTCGTCAACGAGTTCGTGTTCAATTCGTTCGATAAGTAAACGAGACAAACACGAACAAATTTTTTTCGTTCGGTTAGTTAAACGAACCAAACACGAACAGTGATGCGTTCGTTCGTGTTCGAATCGTTATTGTTTGAAATATAAAATAATATAAAATAATTATATATAAAAAATTTATTATATTTTAAAACATTAAATTTTATAAATTATAATATATAATAAAATAATAATAATAATATATTAATATACTATAGTAGTAATATACTAATATAGATATTGTATATTTATATAATATAAGTTATATAATTAATATATAATATTATTTTTATATATTAATATTAGAGATGTCAAATTGGCTCGTCGTTCGCGAACAACTCGTGTTCGGCTCATTCGTTAAGAAACGAACACGAGCTTATTTCAAACAAACTAAATTTTAAACGAACCGAACACGAACACAAGCTTTGTTCGTTCGTGTTCGGTTCGTTTACACCCTACGTGCGATGTCATATTAAGATGTAGATGATTTTACATAGAAAACACATACTTCTTATTTATTTACATGTCATACCTTATTTTTTATATTTATATAAAGGGGTCATTTTCGAAAATAAAAGAATGAAATAAAAAAGAGCGACGTATTTCAACAAAGTGCTCTTTCATTATTTTATTGTTATGGAGAGAGTTTTCTTTTATGACTTAATTATATAAGTGTAGATATATAAATATAAATATAAGTAAATAAGGAGCTTTTTTTTTTTTTAAATCATCTTATGTAAAAGTTGTAAAGATTGAGAGCCTTTAAATATTTAAAATTGAGATACAGTTTAATTTAAATTTTAAAAAATTAGAGAAAATGATAATCAAATTGCCGCTTTATATTAATTAATTAATGGCATGTTTAGGTAAACAACGTTTTCGTAGCTTATGTGTTTTCAAAATGCTGAAAACAAAGTTTTCACACCGTACCTATCTAGGTTTTGTGGTAGCTTATGCTGAAAACAAAGTTTTCACACCGTACCTATCTAGATTTTGTGGTGAGCTTTCGTGACGGGGTTTTACTTTTTAAAAAAAAAAAAAAATTGTAATAGTCGCCGCTCCTAACTTATCAACGGATTATTCAATAAGCTGCAACTGTCCCAAGCAGACCCTAAGAAAGACTGCAAACATTATATTGATCTAGAAGAGAAGGATGTGATCAACAATAATTTTTACATAAGAATATCTTTATTATTATAGGAATAAAATTATAAATTGGCAAGGTGCTCTTTTTAAAAAATAGAATTTTGTTTTTCTAAAATTTTAGAAGGAGTTTTTTCCCTCATTAATTCATTCGAAATACAAGAAAACAATCCCACATATTGCATGAGAAACAAATTTTTTCATTATTTTAGATATTCGGTATTACAAGAAAACAATCCCACATATTCCAATATTTTAATGAAAAAATAGTTATTAAATTATAATTTATTTTTATCAACCAACACTAATTACATAACTTTTGATATATAGAATACAGAAAATATAAATGAAATTTATTATTTTGTTCCATTTAAATAAAAGTAATTAAAATTTAAAAAATTTAAACTGCATATTTAATTAATTTATTTTTTTAATTAAATTTAATTTCCTAATTCTAACATTATTTGGTTTTCAGTTAATTTAATTTAATATATAAAAAAAAAATCGATGTAAAAATACGAAATTGAATATTTAAAACTTTAAAACAAAAATAAAGCAATTGTTTTAAAATCAATGAAATAATTGCGGTTAGATTCGATGTATTTTCCTGTTTTTGACCAAACTATGCACACTGTCCTCCACCTCATTATCCATTTGACCGAATCCACGACATCAAATAGATGTGTACATTTGTCCCTCAATAATTTTGGGGCATTTACATTCCTACCACTCAAATCTTATATCTTTGCATATTAAACATCTAACCTTTGTTTTTTACAGTTATACCACTCAAATCTTTCAGATCACATAAAAATATCGCTATTTTAACTCGAGAAAATAAAAAAATAAACACTTTCATG